TGCATTCGCTAATCAAATGTGTGGTTTGTTAAGCGCACATGAGGTATCTCAGGGTAGGGAAGACCATGGGGGAGGGGCTAGTGATAGAACAGGCCACCTGCTTCAGACCTCAAGGCCTCCCCCGATCCACTGAGATATCTCATGCTCCCCACAATTGCTTCTCCCCCCTCATCCTGCTGCACTGGGTCACTTAGCTTGCAAAGATCTAGCAAGCTGTCTCCTCTCCAGGCTCTCTGCTGCACAAGTTCACGTCACCCAGAAGCTTCCAGTCTCCTCACAAAATGTTTACAAGCTGACAGGAAGCTGTGTATCACCAAAATCACTGCCTCAAAGCTTCTGGCCAGCTTGCAACAACTTTGGGCGCTGAGACTGGAAGCTTCTGAGCGCTGTGATCTTGCGAGACTTCAGGCTTTAGACTTCCAGTCTCTGCCCAAATGTGTTTAAGGAAGAGCCTTTGCTGACAAGAACAGAGCCCCGACTTGATGTGTGTGTCGCTCCCGGCCTCCATTCTGGGCGGCAAAGGCCTTCAGGAACGGAGGCTGGGAGTGACGCACGCTTCAATCCGGGGATCTGTTCTTGGTAGCAAAGGCATTTCGCAAAGATGGCAAAAGGCTTTGCAAACAGAGGAAAGGCTTTAATGTTTCAGGACTTCCCTCCATTTGCAAAGCCTTTTGCTACGGATCTCATCCAAGCCTTCCTATGCAGAGAACAGAGGCGTAAAGTACCATGAGATCACACAAGATCAGTAGCATGAGATATCACACTACTGGTCTCGGGTGATCTTGAGGTACTTTAGGCCTCCATTCTCTGCGAATGCAACGAAGGACTGAAGCAATGAAACAGGGCAAGAAACTAAGACTTTCTAGATCAGTGGTTCTCAACCTGTGGGTCGGGACCCCATTTGGGGTCGAACGACCATTTCACGGGGGTCGCCAAACAACGCAGTCCGCCATTTTTTTCCCCTTTTCCTTAGCTGTGCTACTCCCTTTTATTCTATTGGCTTTTGAAAGTCTAATTCTAATTGGCTTTCAAAAGCCAATAGGAATTGTCCAGGCTGTCTCTGCCCTGCTGAGCCCGCCAAAAGTCCCATTCTGCAAACAGTGCTGCACCAGTTGATTAGTCCTCGACTTACGACCAGTTGAGTAGTCCTCGACTTACGACCGGTTGGGGGGTCGCGGCATTAAAAAGGTTGAGAATCACTGCTCTAGATTTTCGCAAGGTGAGTATCCACAGGCCTAGTACCTATGGAGACCCAGTCAAGGGGAGGGAATAGCCAGGGTGAATGTTGCAGTGACTCTGTGGTCATTCGTAAGGGTGAACAACTGCTGTGGTGCTGCAACATTGGTAATTTCGGGACTTGTTCGTAAACACTGGGGGGGGGAGCTTATCGCATAACTTCAAACGTTCACTAAGGGAACATTCGTAACTTGGGAATTACCTCTATCTAGTCCAATAAAACTGAAGGTTGACTCTTATTTTGAGATTACATGTGAAATTTTCTATAGACACAGCATTTTACCAGAGCCCCTCCACAAAGAACTAGTTTTAAAGAATAATACAGTATTTTAGCATATGGAAGCGGAAATACCTTTTTATGTACAGTGTATGGAAATGTAATACGGCATCATCATAAAGTGGTACAAAATCCATACAGACTTTATCAATTTGAGGCAAATTTTGTGAACCCTGCTAGTGCTAAAACTTACAATGTGATGTAAGTTTCTTATAAATTGTCTTTATAAATAAAAAGATTCAGGTTAAGCAACACACAGAACATGTGTTTGCCAAACAATTAGACCAATTCTACATTAAACCGTTCGGCAACAAACCTTTTAATTTTCCATACTAACAGTTGTAATACTGTCTGTAAAATAATGATTTCCTCCTTTAATGTTTAGAGCAAAACAAAGACCTTTTGAAGTGGAACTGCTGACCAAATCTTATCAAATTATTTTTCAAACAAGAGATTATCTGGATTTTTCCACCAATGGGCAATAATTAATTTTGTTGCTAAAAGTACAGTGGTACCTTAGTACTCAATTGCTTTAAAACTCATTGAATTTGGTACTCAACGCATTTTGACATGAAAATTTTGTCCCGATACTTATTGTTTGTTTGGTACTTGACACACAAGCTGGAACTTGTTGGTGTTGGCTGCCTTTTTGACTCGCTGCATTATTCCTTATGGGAAAAATTTGTTCGGTACTCATTATTTTTGGTAGTCATTGCATCTCCCAGAATCAATTGATGAGTACCAAGGTACTACTTATACGCTATCACAATTATATAGAAAGGGAACACTATTTTAAAGAAAATTGAACACACATTTTAAAAAATAATTCTAAGAAAACTTTCAGGACAGACCTCTGAAGAATTTGGTCACATTATTGTAACGAAGAATCATTGCTAATTTCTATATTCTACATTCGTAACAATGATAAAATATCACTTTTAATTAAAATATATTATTTATTGTTAATATTTATCTCCTAAGCATTCAATATAAATTTCCCCTATCCAATACATTCCTACACACTTTTTCAAATATAAGATATTTCATTTGGAGATACTTAATTCACATAAAACACAAACACATACGCACATTTTTATAATAGTTCCATTAATGTTGCTTATTTTTAATATTTGTTTGGTTATTTGCAGTAATTCTGAAATTAAATTCCTAAAATTTCATCTACAATAAAAGTCTATAGGTAAAAAAAAAATTAAAACAGTAGATATGCTTTTTCAAAAGCCAAAATAGCTAGGTATCAATAAAAGTCCTAAGACAAACAAACCAAAGAATATTTCTCATTAAGTCATTCACTAAGTAATCAAGTTACAGAACAGCAATATACAATTTATTACAATATATCATTTCAAAAACTATTACGTATACTGAAATAATGTGACCACGGGTCCTACATTTTCAAATTCCACATTACAAGGTTGACAGGCACAAAAAAGTATGTGTTTAGGCTAATAACGCCAGTAAACAGTAGTTATATGCCAACTATTGATTTAGTTTTAATATATAATAGGAAAAAATCAAAACTTTTTATTACCAAATCAAACATTTTGACTGAAAGAACAGTAACATGTCAAGACGACTTTTTTAAAAAAATAATAGTGTCACAAAGCAAAGAATATTTTTTCCTTTTAAGATAAGAGGGATACTATGACAAGAAGAACATTCATTGAAATAAACAGATACCCTTGCTGAAACAATTCTCTCTTTCACTATGACAAATTAGGAACAAGAATATGAGCACCATTTATACACACTGGAAATCTTTCCCCTCTCTAGTAAATAACGAATTAACAAGAAAGTCAGAGAAGTACTAGAGATTTTTTTTTCAGAGAATTAAGATAAATAAAACCCAGTTTGCAGTTTGATTGTTTAAGTTCTTATAATAAATTTGCAAGCTAAAGGTCCCAGATTCACCAGAAAAAAAGTATATTACATTAATACACTATTGTAAACTCTGGAATTTCACTATCATTTCAGATGGTAAACATGACTTAGATTAGGGTGTCAAACTGCCGGCCCATGAACCGGATGCATCATGCGGAAGCCGTGCCCACCCCATTGGTGGCAATGGCAAAAGTCCTGATACGTCGCGCGATGTCGCCAGTTTGACATGCCTGACTTAGATGAATCACATCTTCCTTATTATTCTGAACTGCTCAACAAATCCCTATGTTTACTTTCTGTTTGTTCCTGGATCTAAATACTTCCTACTCTTACCTTCAAAATGTGCCATAGTATGTCTTCTGCTCTTATAAATACTACATTGCTATTTGTGTTGTCTCTTATCTCTTCAATTCAAATCTTTACTTGTATTTTCCATGAAGCATTTAGCATATCACTCTCCATTTCCTTTTAAACCTTAGTATGAGAAACTGAAATAAGTTTTTCATTCTCCACTGCATCTCACTTTCTTTCTCAATGGATTCCCCATCTCACTTACTTGCTAATACTTTGTAAAGTGCTTTATAAAAAGATAACATTGTATTAACAATACATGGACCAATAAAACAGCTCTAAAATAAAGCATATACATTCTCTAATGTCAGACACAAATTGTATGATCAAGAGAATTTCATTTTTTTCTCCATAAAAACAGGCAGTTTTGTGAGTTTGCCCTCACTCCAATCTATTGCCAATGAAGACAGACTGAAGCTATATTTTTTGCTTCTCTGTCATTCTTCATTAACCATATATTATAAAATGGGAGCCACCCATAGTCTCAGTCACAAGTTCTTGAAAATGATATGGTAAGTATGGTACCAGGTTAAAAGGATGTAAATCACTGCATAGAATGCTATAAAATTTTGGGAAGGTTCATTATAAAAAAATCCATTATAAAAATAGCCACTTCCATGATTCTGTGAAAGCCGGAAGATCAAAATGGGCTTTCTTCATTGCTGATAATTAAAGGCTAGCAACTCAAACTTTGGGTTTCAATTGGACACATTTATATAATGCTATCAAACCAGAACTTACATAAAATTTCTGTTTTTACTCTTTTTTACCCTTATGTAGGAAAACTAGCATTTTATACTGGCTAGTGAATCAAAATCTTTGTCCAATATAACATCAGTATACATTTTCACACAAGCAGCTACAAAATGTAGCAATAGCCTGACTCAACATCTGAACTTTGAGTTCATTCTCAACTCTAAAACTGATTGCCACATAAAACTTTTTAATATATATATATATATATATATTTAAAAGGGGCTAAAATTATCTGAAATGCAGGGAAAAAGCATCAAGTTTACTGTTTTAAATCAAATTAAAATACAGGCGATTCTTGAAAAATTCATACTATTAATAAGTATAGTAACTTTCACAAGCAAACTATCAAGTATAGCAATTTTTAAATCTGAAACAAAGTTACCTGAACAGTAAAATGCAAAAAACTCTTGGTTCTTAATTAAATAACCTGGATTTATTCAAAAACACAGACAAGATTATAAGTCAAATTAAAGTCACTTACATTGTCTCTCCAGTCTTGGCGACATGACAAAGAAATTGATCCAATATTGGACAGACTTCCTTCTTTCCTCTTTTCTCAAAATCTGTAGAAATGGTCAGAGAAATAGAAGAGGAAAAAAATGTAAACCATATCTTATGAATTCTATATTGTCTCACTTCCCCCTCCTGCCTGAACTTTTTCTAAATACAGTAGCAACTTTTTTTTTTTTAACCCACACAGAAGACACTTAAGATAAATTTGGAAGCTAGTTTTTCAGGTTTCTTCAATGTCTGTAATAGATATGTCCCTCAAATTGCCATCAAGGAGAAAGATCCATACACTCTGATAATTTCTTATGGAGAGAAGAGGCAGGGAAGGGAAGGGGATAAGTAGCAGGAAGTGGGACAGAATGGAACAGGAATTAGAAAGAAACCCAAAGTATGAGATAGGGGAAAAAAGTAAACTCGAAGAAGGAACTTCAAAGGCCCTTTTAAGGGAAAAGCGAGAGGATCAGGAGAGGTGGTGGTGGAAGGGAGGAGGGGGCGACGATGGCCCCCGTGCTGCCATCCTCAGCACACGTTTTGGGAAACTCAAAGCAGGGCACCCCAAAACAGAGCAGCCCAGACTATGGCGGGAGTAAAAGTGGAATCCCTCCGACCGCGGCTTTCCCCTCTCCAAGACGATGCATATCCTTCCCAAGCCCACGTTAGGGCCAGGCCTTCTCTTCCGCCTCCCAAGGTCGGGGGCTCCTCTCTTCCCCCTTCGCCGCGACCTCGAGATAAGCCTCCCCTTCTCCCCAATTCACCCCCAGCCGCCACCTTTCAGTGCCTCCTGCAGCCTCTCGATATCCATGATCCGCCGCCGCTGCTGCTCCTCTTCCTCCTCCTGCCTCCCGGGCTCTCACAGGAAACAGGCAGCCGCGCAGCGAAGGCAGTTCAGGTGCGGCTACTCCACCGGGGAGAGAAGGGGAGGAAAAAGAGAGAGTGAGAAAGAGATAGGAGGGAATAAGAGAAAAAGAGAGAGAGAAGAAAAGAGAAAGAGAGAAGGAAAGTAACAGCGATTCCCCGGCGGCCGGGCTCAGCAGCCTTCCAACATGGCGCCTAAGCCGTCGCCGTGCGCGCTCCCGACTCTCCTCGCAAGCACACCGATTTCAGCCTTTCCTCTTCCCGCCGGCTCGGGAGCGCGCTGGTAGAGGCGGGTGGAGATTAGAAGAGGGCGGCCCGTCGGAGATGAGGTCACCGCAGTTTCGGCGGGAGACTCGCTTCAGCGTCGAAAGTGATCGGCGCAGAACTTCGGCAGGGCTCGCTTCGCTCGGAGTTGGCTTTTCTCTTCCTCGATTGCAAGGAAGATTTTGGGTGGCTTGGATAGGGCATTCGCACGTTAATATTTTCAGATCAGCATTTAAGGTGGTAGTGTTTATCAATGTTAGTAACTTTAAGATGGGCCGGCTTCAATTCCCAGAATTTCCTAGCCCTGCTGCTAGGGAATGCTGGGAATTGAAGTCGGCCCATCTTAAAGTTGCTTAAGTTATGGGATGTTGATTTAGGGCAGGGGTCTTCAAACTTGGCCCTTTTATGACTTGTGGACTTCAACTCCCAGAATTCCTCAGCCAGCATGCCTAGCTGAGGAATTCTGGGAGTTGAAGTCCACAAGTCATAAAAGGGCAAGTTTGAAGATCCCTGATTTAGGGTGTTTATCTGCCTGAGAAGCTCTTGTTCATTTCCACTCGCCCCTTCCCACTCCTATAGACAGAAAATTCACTGTAACAAGGTGCTATAGAAGGCTTTACTAGAAGAAATGCCTTGTCTTTGAAAGATTATTTATTTATTCAAATGCTATAGTTGCTCAAGTCAACCAAGTGACTCAGGCTTACATTTAGCTTCCTCTCACCTGGTGCCTTCCAAAGGTATTGGAGTTCATCTCTCAAAACGCAGACAAAGAGGTATGGAAAGTCAGCATTTTCAGTTCATCAGGTTCAATGGAATAGTTATTTATTTCAATTTATTAATTCAATGTATTTAGCTATGCTGTTCTGGAAACTAATTTGCTAGAACTATAACACTCATAATTCCCAGCCATTACAGTGCTGGTTGGCAGAGTCATAGATTTTTCCATATTAGTTGCCTGTTAAGCTGGGAAATTTGTAGTCCAGCAAAGTCTTCCATAAGTTGCTTAAATATCACATAGGAGGAAGACACTTGAATAAATGCCATGCCATTCTGTTTTGTTACGTTATTTCAATCAATTTCAAATAATTTTAAATCTAACAGGATTAAAATTAAAATAATTAAATCCAATTCCATTTTTGTTTTTTTGGAGAGTAGCTGTTCCTAGAGTACCTAGGTTAGGATCTTGGTTGCGAGGGGGAATGGGAAGCTGAAAGCAGGCTGCCCTTCCTTCTAGCTCTCACCTCATTTTGAATGCCAGGATTCTGGATCCTTGAGCCTACAAGTTTTGGCTGCTGCTCTTAAATGCCAGATCTGTCTATATAAGAATTCCTCATCCATGACTTAATTTTGGATGAGAGGGAAGACTTGACATGTACAGTATTACTGAGATGTATGTTCTCCTTTCAGAAAATCGTCCATCAGGATTTTGGATTGATACAGTCTTTCTGGTGAGGTGGGGTGGATGTAGCTGTTTCGTTCCTGAAACTTGTTATCTAGTGATGTTCTCCAGAAAATAGCTGGGTGTGAGACCTTGTGTTTGAACCAAAAGAGCCATTATACCAGCAGTGTGAAACTGCTGGCCCGTGGGCCAGATGCGTCATGGTGAAACTGTACCCACCCCATTGTTGGCAATGGAAAAGTCGTGACACATCACACATGTGATGTTGCGAGTTTGACACCCCTGCACTACACTGTGCCAACCTTGCCAGGCTTATTTGACATGGTTGCTGAATTAGCAGTAGTATCTTTTTAGTGAACAGCCCCAGAGGTTCATAGCCACCATGACAACCATGCACCTGACCTCATTTATTCAGAGCTTGACACATGAAAAATCTCTAGTACAGTGGTTCTCAACCTTTTTAATGCCGTGACCCCCAACCGATTGTAAGTCGAGGACTACTCAACCGGTGCAGCACCGTTTGCAGAATGAGACTTTTGGCGGGCTCAGCAGGGCAGAGACAGCCTGGACAATTCCTATTGGCTTTTGAAAGCCAATAGAATTAGACTCTATTCAAGAATAAAAGGGAGTAGCACAGCTAAGCAAAAGGGGAAAAAAATGGCGACTGCATTGTTTGGTGACCCCCGTGAAATGGTCGTTCGACCCCATATGGGGTCCCGACCCACAGGTTGAGAACCACTGCTCTAGTATCTCTCAGGGCAGACTCCACATAATCTGAAAGTGGGAGATGTTGAACTTTGCCAATTCTCATGGACTGATTACTCTCTTTGCTGCAGAGTTGGATGTAATGGCTCTCTCTATGGTGTGGAAAAACCCTTTAGATTTGTTTTGCCCCATATCCCTAATGGATACTATGGTTTTTCAGAAGAGTCAAGGAATTCTCCAAGGAACTTGTAAGGAGTTTGACTGAGTCTAGTTCAGGGGTAGGCAACCTTGGCTCTTTTATGACTCGTGGACTTCAACTCCCAGAATTCCTGAGCCAGTCCACGAGTCATAAAAGAGCCAAGGTTGCCTACCCCTGGTCTAGCTGTTCACTGGAATAATCTGGCATCTGGGTCTTGGGACTGGATTCCACTTCAGTGGCTTCTCCATGTGCTCAGTTGATTCTGCTGGTTCTTGCTTTACTAAGGATCTTAGTAAGAAGATGAAGTAGCAGAGGAAATGCCTGGAGTGCTGCTGGAGAAAGATCCATCTTGAGTCTGACCAGCCATTAATGTGAGCGTATCTCTTTACAATAGCAACTTAAGCAACAAAAAATAAATACCTGTATTTTTCCATCTATAAGACGCACCCTTGTATAAGACGCTCTGGCATGCGAGTTTCTCTGCGCCGATCAGCTGAGCCGGCAAATCTGAAAGTTTGGCCGGCCAACGATCTTGCCCCCTCCCGTTAGTGCAGCGGTTCTCAACCTTTGTGTGACAGCGACCCCGTCACACGGATGCGCCGCGCATGCGTGGCGCGCATGCGCGGCGGCGCCCCCTGAGGGGGAAAAATGGCAGATCGCGTTGTTTGGTGACCCCTGTAAAATGGTCGTTCGACCCCAAATGGGGTCGCGACCCATAGTTTGAGAACCGCTGCGTTAGTGTCAAGCCCACAGGGACTTGACACCTGCACCAGGCAGCATGGCAACCCACACAGGCATGCCCTGGGCTGTGGAGGTTACCATTATTTTTCCGGGTATAAGACGCTGCACTTGTATAAGAAGCACCTGATTTTTAAACAGGGTGTTTGCAGGAAAAAAAGTGTCTTATACACGGAAAAATATGGTATTTATTGTATTGGCTGAAGACCTGCTCCTCTTTAACAATGTTTGGCAGAATCATCTGAAGGGCTACTGTAGGATTTGCTTGATATATATTTATGTGTTGGCCTCTTCTATTCATCGAATGTGGAATTATTACTCCACAGCAGAAAGAAGAATGGGGAAAAACACAGATTTCCCACAGAACTTTAATTATTTTTATTGCCATATGCGAAGCAAGTTCATAATACTTACTACAGGATCAGCCCAAATAATTATAAGAGCACAATGCTAATGAGTTCTAGTCATCTGAAAAATTCGTTAAAATTCTAGTCATCAGTTTTCTTATAACGTTAATACATTTTTCAGATAAGTAGAGCTTATTATTTAGACTTATCTAACCTTTAGACTTTTGGAGAGAAAATAGATTGGAAGCAAGGCAGCTATTTAAGGAAAATGTATTCTGATCCATCATATGGCTTATTTACAGAATGAGGATCAGTTATGAGCATAGAAGTCAACTTTCTAATAACTGTATACCATTTATTAATCCATTTAATACATGAGCAGAATATAATTACTGAACTATGGTGAGTAGAAGGTGTAAAGCGTGTGCCTTGTTCCTTCTCGTCTTACGACCACAACTGGGCCCAAAATTTTTGTTGCTGAGCGAGGCATTTGTTAAGTAAATTTTGCCCCATTTTACATTTTCTTGCCACAGCTGTTAAATAAATCTGGCTTCTCCATTGACTTTGCTTGTCAGGTCAGAAAAGGTAATCACATGACCCACGGCAACCGTCATAAATATGAGTCAGTTGCAAAGCGTCTGAATTATAGCTCTAGAATTTATTGAACTGCAGATGAGGAAACCATTAACCCTAGCTATTACACCAGAATATAAATAAAGGGGTAGAGAGGAACTTAACCTCTTTTTCTCTTTTGTTTTAAAGTAAAATCTGAACAAGCTGTGATTATAAACATGCACATTAATCATTTAATCACAATTAGCAACATAATTTGAGCCTTAAGTCTTTGTATATAATCATCTTCCCTGGACCTCTACTTCTGATGTGTTACAGCTGTCAGCCTCTCTGAAAGCACATAATTGAAGTTGTGGTTCAACATCTAAGAGGGCATCAGATTAGCCAAGATATACTAGAAATGTCCAAGGAAGATTTATTATATAAAGATTGTCCCAATTTCTTTTGACCAAGAGCCTTTCTAAAAAGTTAAGTGTTGCCACTTTTTTTGGTACATGCATTTGGAAATTTAAATCTTTTAAACACCAGTTTGAGATATACTTGTTTCTTTGCTCTTCCTCTGTTCAGCACATTCTTCCTGTTATTTCTGGCAGAAACAGTACTATTAAAGTAAAGGGAGAAAACATCCATGAATTGTCCTTGAAATGTTAATAGTCTATACTTCAGAATCTCTCTTGACAAGAACCTCTTGGGGAGACACCCATCATCTATTGAATATCTTATCCATTAATATCGTTAACATTTAAAAGGAAGTCACTTTTAAAACAGTCCCAGGGCTCAGAGAGAATTTTTTTCCTCTTCTTTCTTTGCAATTTTCAGAATGGCAGAGCCAATTTGTCATTCCGTGTAAGTAATGACAGCAGTCATCCATCTTTAACAATTCTTCCTGGTGGTTTTGCACATTATGTCTTAGTGTCCAATAACAGGAAGAAACAATTGTCCTCCAGGATACATACATGCATGCATGCATACATACATACATACATACAGACACACACACATATATACATGCATACATA